ATTCTTGACTATGCTCTACTCTTGAAATGGTTTTATTAATCCCTTCATTAAGCATTCAATTTGGCAACATGTATGTTCAAATATGTCCTTTCATCACCCTCAAAAGCATGTTTCATAATTTCAGTAAGGCTTTCGAACACATTTGGGCAAAGGCATTTTGTGTGTTAAATGCTTTGAAGGGGCCTATTTCCTATCTGCATCAAGTTCTCATCACCGAAGGTAAAATGTATAATCTCTTCCCACTGGGTGGCCCAGTGCTGTCCACAACTGTGACAATTAAAATGTGCATTTCTACTGTGGTCTTTCAGGCCTCGGTGAACATTTTCCATTGACCTAAAGTTGAATCAACGTTTTATCCTGTAAGGCTTTTTTCCCTCCGGTCGGGCTCACAACTACAATCTATGACAAACTGGATTATCCACAAGCAAATTCCATCAATTGAGAGCGAGTGAATTACACTTAGGGTCAGTGCATTCAGAGAGCAATGTGTATTGCTTTTTTCCCTGACTGTCCATCTGAGCTGGTGACTGTGATGGAAATAATTTTCATGCAAAAAAAAGGTCAGCTTAATTTACTACACAAAGAGGTGTCGAATGATCAGAAGAAGGACACTGGTCAAACTGGAGGACTTTAGGTACAAGCCGAGAAACGAGACATTCTTAACCTGCGTGAGATGTGGGATTTTTAAATTATATACCTTAAGATTTGTTAAGATATTGCCTGTTTTGGCTTTTATCTCACTTATATCAGCTTCACTAAGTGTGTTTCCAGCCACTTGTTTTTGTGCACACTTTCAATTTGTGCCTTAAAAACACCCGAGTGGAAACAAGAAAACTTTAAAAATGTACGTCTTCTCGTTGCATCCTCTTCCTCTCCTAACTAAGAGTTAGCTCCACCAACGTTTTATCTCAATGAATCTCCTAATATGCGCATAACGGTAGTAGGTGGGAACGCACATTGCTGGGAAAACATGATGGAAAATTGAAGATTAAACTCCAGTTTTTCTTCTGTTACATTTCTGACAAAGTAGCTGCTCAACAAGTGTTTGCTGTAATATCAAAATCACATTTGCTGTTACCATGGTAACCACAGGTTTCGCCGAACCCACCTGGACTCATATCTTAAGGATTATAACTTCAACTGGCCACTGTGAGGCTATTGCTGCTCTCTGTCCTACAGCCTTGAATGGATGTCCTTCACAGTGATCTGGCATCAGAGAAGGATACAACAAACGCAATTAAAATAGTATATAACCAAATGTGATCCTGTCTCAGCTGTCACATTAAGGCAAAATAATAGAAATGTCTTTAAAAAAATAAGGAGATGCCGTTCACTAATGCACTGTTCTAAGGCAAATCATCTCAGCAAAAGACTATTGCAACGACAGAAATACAGCGAATAAAGAAGTGACAGGATCACGACAATGTTTACAGGAAGACAAAACCCGGTGTCCCACCTTGGCACCGAACTGCACTTCTTTGAGCAAAAACTTTCTGGACTTCAGTTTCACATTGTTTAGTCTTGGAAGCAGGAAATGATCAGACATACTGCAGGTTTTTTTCCCCCGGAGAAGGCAGAACTTAGTCTCTTGGTATTGCCAACTCTTATTAAGTGCTTCTTGTCAAGTTGTAGAGGTTTTTTTTTTGTACAGCTACAGCTCATTAATCTCATTCAGCACCAAGAGGGAAACAATAAAATGAAGAAGGTTTTTAAAAAATAAACATACTTTGACAACGTAATAGCTTACAGCAAAACACCCTGAAATATCAATAAATGAAGTATCCATAAAGGAAAGAATATGTAGAAGTGGTTAAGAGGAGTTCATGCTCGTTGAGGTCCCGCCAATAGGAGGGCAGACCAAGATTGATCAGTCCAAGTCTACAGAAGCAGAGCTCAGCTAGGCTTCCAGCTTTCACACAATGTACTGGTACACGTCTGCCTTGCCGTGGTCAGGAGTTGCAAAGGGGCTCAGCCAGGATATAGAGAACGGATGGCCAAACACCACCTTCATATTCAGCCATTTTGACTTTTTGGCCCATCTTCTCTCCTCCTTCTTAAGCTGTTCGATACCCTGCGGGGACAAGATGTAACACACAGGAGGAGATGTGACATCAACTACTGATTCATGATTAAAGACGATACATAAAAGAACATATAACTGTGTAATAAAAATTGAATGTACCAGCAGAAAATAACACAGCACTAGGGATTAAAAATTAAGCGTGTTGCATTATTTTGTTGTTCTCTCAGAGTTCTTAATCAGGGTTAGGTGACTCACTGTCAACATTTCCTGATGTCTAAGAACAGCACACATACATAGATGATGATGCATTAACAGTGCAGAGGCTCATTAGATTGAAATTGACTGAAATAGATGATCTTTGTAGTGAATATTATAACGCTGTGAGTCACTGCCGTGGGTGGTTTGGGCGGGCACGTTATGAGAAAATGCACTAATCTCAGCCTACCTGGAGGATATAAGTGAATTACATTCTCCCACTTACATTTGTGCTCGGATTTAGGGAACAACAGAGTATGATTTTATTATTTATTTTAGGAAGTCAGAACTGCTGTATAACTATAGTAAGAGCTGCATGTGTATTTGGTTAACTTAACTCTATCCCTGATGCTGCAGTGTATATGGTGTGCATCATTATACTGATGGATGGACCAACGCCACAGACCAAATACAAGTACTAGTACTTACATTTGGGTACTTGCCGATACCGAGTACTGGAACCCTATGTAGATGGTATCTAGATGCCTAATTACAGTGTTATGAATAACGTGTATTTTGGGCATTGTGTGCTTTTATTAGAGTCGACAGCAGAGAGATGATAGGAAATGACAAAAGAGAGAGGAATTTATGGTTGGTGCAAGATTTTCATAAATTTAAACCCCATTAAAGATACTATTTATGGTGTGCGTTTTTCCGCAATAACCATCAAACGTATATACATTCAGCAATTACCTTAATTTTTTTGTGGCGGACTCCGCCATTCCTACGTTGTATTCAAAATGCCTTCACATACATGAAAGATTCACTGAAAATTAGGTAAAAACGTAATCTAGTGTTCCTGTTTGTAATTGTATCTCACTGATATCAGCCTCATTGTTTATTGTATACTCCATTCACAGCATATGGCAGCTGTTTTATGCAAACCCAACATTTCCTACTGCTGCTGTTTCACATTAAGAGCATTCAACAAAACTCAAATGTTCCCTTGGTCACCAATGCACCCCAGAATTTATGTGTTTTTTTGTGGTGTAAACAAGGACAGAGCCTTGCGAATAATACCAAACAACCTTTCTCTCATTTCTAAAATTAAGATAAAGTGCACCATCTTTTAGGATACTGCCCAAGAAAAATAGGTCCAATATTATCTCAGCTTTTGAAATCCCTCTTTTAGAGTTTAACTATTTTGCTCTTGTGGAGTTTGAATGCACTTACTCTAAGTTACTTTAGATAAAAATATCTACCAAATAAATGTAATAAACTATATCTCTAATTCTGTTATCTTCAAATGTTTGCTAGAGTACCATTTCACTGGGGAATGTCCTTTGTAAGCTGGAATGGATTTAGTGACTTGCTTAAAGGCCCTTCAGCTGACGAAGGCTCTTTACTCTAAACAGCTGTTCAAATGCAACCATCACACCCCACTCACTGGTGCAACTGAAATTCAATTGTCAGGAGGTACACAGAAGTGCTGTTTTCACTCACCGTCTCATCGGTACAGATGGAGTGGACCTGGGTCCCAAACATGACTGCGGTGAAGATCAGAAAGAGGAGACCCTCAAAGCAGAGGAGGATGAGGAGGATGACAGTTGCTGGTGGAGAGAAGTTACTGCACTCTGGAGAAGGAGGGAGGGCAGAGAGAGAAAGATTTGTCATGTTAAAAAGAAGGAAGTTTGTTACCTGTGAGGCACATAAACAACAGTCAGCTCTAACAGGACATAATAAAATAAATAACGGTGAATTCTGGCTACGACTGGTAAGAATGTATTTTATCTCGAAGAAATGTTGAAATAAATGCATTAGAGATATAAATGCACAGCTTTCCACTCTCTTTTTTTTTTTAAAGAATGTCAACCCCAAAAAAAATAGTCTCTTGCTATATTTGCACATTAAGATGGATGTCCAGTATACTACTCACTTGCCCAGTCTTCTTCAATGCAGAAAACAAAATGGAAGGCCACCAAGATTAGCGCATGGAAGGATATTAGTGCAATATACATCTGGGGGAAAAAGAGCAAAACAAAGTTCAGCTTTAATTTGTCACATGTAGATAAACACAGGGTCACTGGTAGAAGAAGAGACAGGTCAGCTCTGCAGTAATGGCACTAGTCATATAAAGATAAAATAAGATAAAGAAAAAGGAAGTAAGAAAAAACAGAGATTAAATATAACTTAAAAAATAAAAAATAATAATAAATAATAAATAAATAAATAATAAAAAAAATATAGAGAAGTATTGGACACTGTGTATATATCAGTCCCAGTACAAAAGCAGCAGATATTGTAGACAGACTTAGTGTTTAGATAATACTCATTAACAGTAAAATAACACCAAAATTGAAAAAACAAATGGGGGCTCTTTTTTAAATTTGACATTATTTCAATCTTTGGACATACAGAGCTGTTAAATTATATTTCATACTGAATGTATTTAAATTAAGGTTGCAAAAGTGTAAAGATATAGTGTAAGAGTCCAGTACACACGTGAGGTGGAGCACTATAGTTAGTGTTAGCATGCTCACATTATTCTTCTGTTATGCAGTGCTGTAGTGCTGAGGTGACAGCACAACGTGATCAATGTAATTGCACAAAGGTATTTGAGCATCTCCGGTGTTTACAGACTCACCGTGAAGAGCACAAAGTATTTCTGGTTGTTCTCTCCGACACAGTTGTTCACCCAGGGACAGTGGTGGTCCATCTTTTTGATGCAGCGTTTACACACACTGTGGACACAAAGGTGCATAATAAAGATTAAAAGTATTACAAGCAAACTGACCTTTTGAGGATACTTTGAGGTTTATTTAATGATTGCCAAAGTAAATTAAAAATTTTAAAAAAGCCACAAACAAATTCTTTACTCTCACTTTTAGCAGAGTAATTCACTCACATGTTGACACTGACTAATGTGAGAAAAACAGACTGCTCTCAGTCATGTTGGCTGGTTGTGTGTGTATGTGTGTGTGTGTGTGATGTGTTATTTATCTCAGAGAAGTGCAGCTTGTCTGACAACTCACAATCTATCATCTGACAAATCAGAAAGTCATTCTCAATCTATCCGTGTGCCTTGTTTACCAACTTTCAGAGGCAAATCTATATTTAAAAAGCTGCAATCCTGTGTGTAATATATTACCCTTACAAGTCATTAGAGATAAGTGTATCATCACAGTGTATCATCTGAACCACCCACAAGGATGACTCATAATATTCAGCAAAGAAAATCTGTTTCATTCAAACTGACACCCATTTTGCCTCTGAGACAGAATGACTCACTGGCTTTACAATTCAATTACTCTGCAGTGTTTTTGTGCTTTTCGTGCCTCGAGATCCCAGAGAAACCACACAGCCACACAGGGAACTCCTTATTACCAAGCTGCAAAGTCTGCAGGGAAATTCTACACAGTTACTCTAAAATAAAATAAAAACACCATAAAAAACACACACAGGTGAGGCAGGAGAACCTGGTGCAGGAACAAACAGGACTTTCCTCCGTAAGGTGCAGACTTCAGCAGCTACCCGCCCAGACCTACATCTAAAAATCTGCAGAGTTGGCAGCGGGAACTGTAATCTTTCCTCCAATTTACACATTCACACGCAGTGCTGTACCTGCAGTGGTGAGCTCTGTCGGGCTTGATGCTGCAGCACTTGGGACACTTGTACACCACCTGTCCCGGTTTGAGCTGCAGGCTCTCGATAAATTCTTTGGTAGCGTTCCCTTTAGGCACGGCTCCCTGAGAGAGAGAGAGAGGAAAAAAAGATGAGTTGACAAGGAATTCAGTTGTAGTTCCTGTTCCTGCAGATGTTTTACATTGTTTCCTTGTCATTAATGTAGCTGCTGGAACTCTTAAGATATAAATTCACCCTCACAGCAAAATGAACTCAAACAGAAACATATGATTTGGCTTTATCACTGAAGTTTAAAACTAGAACAAAACACAAAAATAAAACAATTAGAATCAGGGCAGGATTAAGCCGCTAGGTGGCCCCCGAGTCAAAAATGAGCTGTGGGCTGCAACTGATACTGGAATGGTGCCAAAGCAAAGAAAAGAGTCCCAGAAAGCAACCAGTGTTTTTATGCTGCAAAGAAAACCCTGCCTGAGGTTTGCTGTCAGCTACACTGTGATCATTTGGTTAAACAGAATTATTTTGAGGATGTGGACCATGTGAAATATTAAAGGTGGTCCATGCATTACCAGTATCTTAATTTAAGTGTATCTTGGGTGGCATGTTTATTTACAGTATTTAGTAGGGCTGCACAATTTGTCGAAATATTATCGAAATTTCAACATGTGCAGAAGCAAATTGCAGAAGCTGCAATTTTTTGATAAAGGTAAAATGTGTGCCCAAACAGCATTATCATGAAGTAGTGCTGCAGAGATAACCTGGCCAACAAATCCTGTTCTGCAGATGTAAGAAAACATGTTTGTTTGGTACAGACCTCAACACCTGTCACATCTTCATGATATTTCCACTAATCCTGAACTGTAGGAGCCATAGAGACAGAACCAAAAGAGGTCTACTAACTAACCCCAACACACCCAATCTGCTAATCAGAGTCTGACTGACCGGGTCTGTGCACATCGCCTTGGCGTGTGACGCGAGGGCGAGGAAAGCGAGGCCGTTGAAGATCACCCCATTGAAGAGGCTGTATATCACGCTCTTGGCCGGCAGCAGCATGACAAACACCACCACAAACTCGGCGTAGAAGATCAGGAACCAGGTAATGATGCCGCACACGATGCCGCAGCCGTCACGGATGAACCACATGGTGTCGGAGCCAGTGCGGGGCGGGGGAGGGGCGCAGTGCTCGGGCTTCAGGTAGCCAGCTTGCCGTTCGATGTCCCTGGTGCGGTGCGCCGGGCTCTTCATCCTACAGCGCCCGTGGCTCCAACCACATACTGCAAGGAGTGATGGGAGACAGATGGAGGGGAAGAGGGGGAGCAGAGAAACGGGAAGAAAATGAAAGAGGAGAGGAATTAGAGAATTAGGCGAAGGATTTGGAGAGAGTACGTGTCAGTGAGGGACGGTATTAGTGTAAGGCTGCAACCAACAATTATTTTCACTATCAGTTTATCTGATGATTATTTTCTTGATTGTTTGCTCTATAAAATGGCAGAAAATTGTGAAAAATGTCAGTTTTATACAGTGCTACGTGACAACAATGGAGAGGGAATGACACATAGCAAAGGGCCACAGGTTGGATTAGAATCCACGTCCATGCAGCAAGGACTCAGCCTTGGCACGTGGGGTGCCAGCTCTACCAGGGGAGCTACCAGGGCTCCCCAAATGTTTGGTATTTTTGACTAAAAAAGGCATTCATCCATTCATTTTACCATCACATTTTAGCTTGTAACTAATCATGGATATATGCTTGCTACGTTAATGTGACTACACAGCAGGCTAAAAATGAAGAAAATATATTAAGTGTCACTGTCAACAATATCACAGTGCAAGAAGTCTGTCCCACAACAATTAAACCATCCAATAAGTGCTCTACGTCCTTGAGGAATATCAAGAAAAATAGCGACTAATAAGACAGTGAATCAGCAAATGAGGTTGAGGACAATACTCAGGGGGAAGCATTAGCTTAAGGAGAAACAAACACTGACTGGTCCAATCCCAACAGGGCCAAACAATCCAGGCGGACTCGTCTCACAGCAAAATGAAGAGGCTGTGGTTGGAATTAGAAACTATATTTCACTATTTGGTTGGAACAATGCTTCAACAAAAACAGCCTACCCAGTTGTCCTGAGCTGCACCGGGCCTTTGTGTCCGGCTCTGTTTGGAGACGGGGCTCATGAATAAGCAATCGAGCAGGTCTGAGTGTGTGTAGACAAAGATGATGTGACTTCAAAGGAGATAAAATGTCAGAAAACTAAAAATAGTCCTGACTATTTTATGTAGATAACTCAGACTGGGATAAAACTCCCAGAGGATGGCTGGATCTCTTCACTAAAAACCTAAGCTTATAATGAGTGCAATCAAATTGCTCGGCCATTCCTGAGGATTCAATCTATATATTAGGCTTAACTGACCGACGGCTTAATTTCACTTTTATGTCCGCATTAATTAGTGCTTGGCCCGACAGTTAAACATGCTTCCCCAGAGGAGAGGAATTTAATCAGAATGAAAACGATATGCCGGCGTTCCAAGGCAAGTAATGAACGACTTCTCTGGATTAAACTAAAACATCTCACGGCCCATTACAGCCCGAGTCACTCGCCAGAACCCTTTCCTTCCTTGGTAGCCTATCTTTCTCCACACAGCACCACACCCACCTCCAGCCTGTTGCATCAGCTGTGTGCAAGTTGAAACTAATTATAATGTAAATTATTACTAAGTTGTGAGTTATGCATTACTTAAATAAAACCACGAGGATGAGCCACAGCTTCGTAATTGTAAGTAAAGTATTTTTACTTTGTTCAGATGGCACTCCCAGGCTGAAATCATTTAGGTAAGGCAAAGAGTTAATTGAGGGAAGCTGTACATTTCTACAGGGGTTACTTCTCAACAACCTGACCCATCTTCAAATCATTCCAGAAGTCCAACCCTGAAAACAACTGTCAGACGAGGGCATTGTCTCGATAAAAATCTACTTTGTGGTTGAAATGACCTTTATAAAATACAGTATGACCAACCCCACTCCTGATGCCGTCCCCCCCCCCAAACCTTTTCACCACGCTTGTCATCACACAACGGGAGTCAGGCATTGTGGGAGGTCACGTTGTAGGTCTAGTGTGTCTGCGGAGCATTTTCACTGCAAGTTGAGGATTACTGTATTATCTGTGTTGACTCTAGTGGCGGTAAACAGTACAAGTAAATATGTTTGCACACATGCTGTACTATTAGTGCAATTTTGAGGTGCTTGTACTTTAGTATTTCCATTGTATGCTTCTCTATACTTTTATTTGACTACAAATAACTTTCAGGCGGCCTTATAATGGAAAGTAAAGTCAAAGAAAGCTAAACACATTAAACCCATGTCACTGAGTTATTGGTGCTTGTCTATAAATTAATGATTTAACACCAGAAAACATTTGTGGCTGTATTTTACCATATAAAACCTCTCAGGTCATTTATAGCAGTGTGATAACTTTTTAGCTGCTTTAAATCTTTAAATGCAGGTTTACATTCCCTAAATGTGACTGAACTGGATATTTCATTATCCAATATTTATTTATTTAAAATGCATTTTAATGTGTTAAAAAGCACTTTAAATTGTCTTTGTGTATTAAAACTTGCTCTAGAAATAAACGTATGTCCAGTACAGTTTGTAGATACAATGCAGATTAGGAAAATAGATGATTTATAAAATATGATGCTTTGTTAAGTAAGTTAAGTGTAAGTATAAACCAACAGTATATTGTAATTAAACTTAGCTCCACCTTGATGAGTTACAACATGTACATGTTATAGATACTTTAGCATCTTTAAAGGGGAGTTTAATTAATATCTTGGAGACAATTAGGGATAATTACATTGTGAAGCACAATTTTTGTGCACAATCCCACTGTGAAAATGTAGACACCCTCAGAACAAAGAAAATGTTGGATAGGAAATCGGATCAAGCTGTTTTTTTTTTTGTTAAATCATTTCATTTAATAGATCTTATTATAGAAAAGTACTTGTTGGTTTTGTTTTACCTGTTGGTAATTCATGTGACCGTTTACCAGTATAGATCTGATCTGATTCAGCTGATGGGAGCTGTGCATTTCCAGAAGAACTTGTTCCAGTGATACAGGACACTTGATAGCAGCTGGTATATTCATTGTTATGTGGACTTTTTTAACTCCATTAGAAACAAAGAAGCCCTAAAAACTGTGAAGTTTCAGATAGGACTTCTGACAATAAAGTAATGAATGACCTGCAGTGAAACCAACTGCAAAACCAGAGTTCATTAACAACTGAGTCAATTGTTTCTTTTTTCATGTGGACTGGAGAATGAGTCTATAGATTTCTCTCAGTGAATAGCTATTTTTTACAATGAAAACAACTGACTGATTGTAAACACTTTACACAACAGCCCCAGTACAGTTAAGAAGAGCTGCTCTATTCTTTGCCATTACCATTAAGCCTCTGCACTACTAATGGTCTCTCCAGGAAGTTGCAATCGCAACAATCAACGCAAGTTAAACCAATCCCCATGAATTCCCCACGACCTTTGTCATATCATCACAACTTTTTCCCGCAAATTTGACCAATCACTGTAGTTTCCTGCATAAAACATGTCACCAAACTCACTTCCTTGTTTCTAGCTGTGCAGATGCAGACATGTGCGACATTTATCCTCCGAACAGCGCGGTTTTCACTTTCTTCTGCAATTTCATTGTGGAGAAAAAAGCCTAAAAATATCAAAATATGCGTCGCTATTTTTGGGAAAAGCTGCTGTGCTGTGAAATCAGGCATTTTAGGCTGCAACAATCCCCCCCCTCAAAAAAAGCCTGCAAGATCCTCGATAGACTGCTGCTAGAGTAGATACAGTATGTGAAAATGCCAGATTTATACTGTAGAAATGACTCACTAACTCCAAACGTGTGCTATTCACAGTCAGATATTCAATTAATGATTTATGGGGATGTTTGATACCCTGCTGCTAGAATGCATCTGAAAGTAACTGACAGCACTGACTGGTGGCAGAAAGGATGAGACGCATAAAGAGAGATGAGATGCAGATAGGTTTGACCCCCTGCTGGAGTTCATCATTACTCTAATATGATTTCACTTTACTGATAAGCTCATTTGGCAACATACAAAACAAAAGTTTGACTAGAGTTCATATCTCTCTGTGTTGCTATATGACATCTTCAGCAAGAGCAGGGTGAGTGCATTAGATTTAAAGAATTACATGCATCACCAGCCAGCAGACAAATGCTGGTAAAATATGAATTTTAGACACTAAATAATGACTATTGAGTGGAGGGTAAATCTGAACATTTACCTGTCAGTGGCTGGCAGAAGGGTGCTGCATATCAGAGATATAACAATCATTTGGATAGTTGTAGTAACACATTTTTGGAGCTTGATTTTGGTGTTCAAAAATCTGTCACCCACCAGATTCGGTGAAACTAGAGGATTAACAAAAGTATCAACGAGGTAATTATTGACAGGCGAGGTGTAAACAGGGGCGGATCTATAGAATATTCATGAGTGGTAAGAGGGTGGCATATAAGCAATAAATGCTGATTTAATCGCAAACAATCACATATTTCAGTATTTGCGGAGAAAAGCTCCAAATTAAGATTTAAGCTCAAAAACATTATTACATTATTGTGGCCCATTAGTAAAACATTGAATATAAATGTGTAAAAGTCGCACTAGAAACCAATAAACTGTTCTATTTCCAAATCTTCAGTCTTCGTCTTTCATTGATTAATCAGTTAGTCTAAAAGGTGACCATAACAGATCATTAAATTATTTGTGTGATTTTAATTTTTAATTTTCAACACGTTTTTTTTCTCCAAATGATTCCAAATGAATTAACAGCATTTGAGACCAAACTGGGGTTACAGCTGGGATGGCATTTTTCTAGGGGTGGTCACTGCTCTCCCATGCTACCCCTACACACCTGCCCCTGGGTGTAAATAGCACTCTATGGAGGGAATCTGTTAAACAGCTTTTCCTATCACAGCTATCTAAATCTGTGACTGTGTCTAAATACTACAGAGGCACCAGTTTTGGTAACAGCTGGCTTTCAAAATAAAGAAAATTGTGATTGATGTTAATGTATTAGTGTTTTAAAAGTCATTTTTCAAACAAAAAATCCAAATGTTAAATAGTTTTAGTGAGAAGCGTAGCAACTAATCATGACTTCCTTTATCAATGGTTCGTCTAATTGTTTCCTCGATTCATTATCTAATCAGTAACATGCCAACAAGCCCAAAGTGACTTCTTCTTTTTTTGTCCAGCACATAAAAGGATGTGTGTGATCATACATAAAAAAACAAAAGCTTTAATACTCACATTTCATTCAGTAACCAGTGAAGGTTTGTTTTTGGTCTTTGTGGTTTGAAAAATGACTCTCAGACCAGCAAAGCAACAAGAACATCCCATTGAAGATGTGTTTGACGACAAAAAAAAAATCCAAAATTCATTCATTTATAACTCAAATTTGGTCTCCAGAGTTAAATATCTGACTCTTTAATGTGCTAGATGCTTTACTTTTTAATAATTGTACCTCTAACGTGGTACTATAATGAATGCATGGATGACAATGTTGGCTGTATACTCTCTTTTTGAGCTTGGCTGCTGTGATTTAGTGGTGAATGCATTCAATTCAAATATGTTGTAAAGCTTAATAGGTGATAGAAATTAAACTCTCTGATCAGGACTCTAAAACTGACTTCTGACCTCCCTGAAGATGGGTGAGCCACAAAATGAAACCCTCTTGCAATGCCCAATAGGGCCTGTACAGTTATGTGTGCCATTATTGGATGATAATGAATGAACTTCCAGAAAGTTCTAACACAATAAACCCGACCAGGAAGTAACTGTGGCAGCTGGAGCAGGATATCTGGATCGTCCTTTAGTTGGTAGCTGATAAAACACTCATACACTGTAGTTAACACACATTTCAAGAGTAACACAACCGCTTCTTTAAAAATAAATAAATAAAAAAAACATACCTCGCACTCTCCCGGTTTGTCGCAAAAGTTTCTAGAGGTCCTAAATGCAGTTTAGAGCCTTTAGAAGTTTAAAAAAAAAAAAAAAAAAAAAAAAAACAGCCTTCCAAAGAGTGGAGTCTCCTTCCTGCCCGCTCCGTCTGTTAGCGCAATACCCAGCTAACCTCACTGATGTGCGGGCAGCCAGTCTCTCAGCCAGGCCTCCGCCGACCTGCTCCCACTTCCACCCGCCCCGGCCTCGGTTTCGGATCGAGGTGTTAATTCGCGTTGTTATGGCGGACTGCCAGCTGGTAGGAGGAGGCAGCTGGGCGACGCATCCTTAAAAACAGGCCGGTTGGTCTAAACTAACTTCGGGTGCTTCCTTTTTTTTTTTTTTTTTTTTCTTCTTGGTAGGATCCAGGAAAGCTTATGCGGGACAACACAAACGTTAGCAGCCAACCAGGGAAGTCCGATACTGCTCTCCCTGTTTACGTTTGGTTTTGGTTGGCTGCCCTGGAGCGCAGTCTGTTCCAGGCGGCAGGCGGAGCTCGCTTACAGGTGAGGGGTGGCAGCTAGAGGGGCTCATCTTTAATCGGGAAAACAATTCATATTATAAGCCAGGTTTTTGCTTGGAGAAAACCGCCCAAATTAAGATATTTGAACTTAAAAACATTATATTATTGTGGCACATTAGTAAAGCATTTAATAGAAATATCCAAAGGTGGCATTTTTTTTTCCAAATACACGTCTTCTTTCGATGAACTTAAGGCTGTCATTTAGTCTAAAATGTGGCCGTAACAGATTAGAAAAATTAAAAAAATTAATTAAAATAGTTAAATTTGGCAGCATTTGACGCCAAACAGGGGTGGCCAGGTAGATGCCACCCCCTCAAGATCTGCCCCTGTCCAAATCTTTTAAGTTTTTTTTAAAGGTCCACTGTGTAGGATTAGAGTAGCATCTTGCAGCGTAGTTGCAGATTGGAACTTCGAACTCCCCTTCGAAGCATCAAATAGTGATGTGAGGCAAAATCCTGCCTCCATTTGGGATAATTAATAATTACTTTGTCCTTCTGAAATAGCTCAACATGATACGGGGTGGATTCTGTTCATATCCTAAGTTAAGTAAGTATTGTAGCTTTAAGGGGGCCCTCTAGCTCTGGGGGTCCCTGGATAGTTTCCTTCCTTGCCTGTAGTAACCATACTGTCAATGGTAGTAACCAAACCTTCTATATTCCCAAAATAAAGTTACAAATAGTTAAATTAGCAGACATTCAGGTGGTTGTATTTGGGTGTCTGCTTTGCCTGGCTATAATCCGTCCAGTCTAGTTTGCTGCTGTTTTTAAGGCATTTCCAAAATCCTTAAAGAAAGTTAAAACCTAACTTTTTGTATTTTCATAAAGGTCTCTACTTAAAAAAATAATTAAACATATTTTTGATCCTCCAGACTTGTTTTTAAAACAGAAGTACACAAAAAATGGTGTTCAGTTGTTCAGTTCTGTGTTTAAAAGTGTCCATTCATCATGACAAAGATCAGTTCCACTGGCTCATAAGGGCCCCGCATGCAGCCACATCTGCCTGAAAGTCCAGACTCAGGGTGATTCATTAAACCAGATCAAGCATTGGCTGCAGAGGAAATATGAAAACTATTATTAAATCTGTCCCAAAGTCTGTGACAGAGAAATCTTTGTGCTTTGTAAACATCAAACAGACCAAACTGATATATTCTTTACTTAAATAGAGGCTACATGCATATAAAAAACCTTAAAAACATCTTTGACAGGTGAGGTTTTATTAAGAGTTTACACCAGAATAAGTTAAATTTTGCTAAATTAAGCAACAGAGTGAAATCTTTTTTAAAAAAGTGTCTCGAAGTTGTTTCTGGATAAAATACTTTTAAGAATTCACCGATGGTTTTTAGACACTGGCCGCACCGGTTGGGCGGGGTCTTCCACCTCCCGCAGGATCGTGAGAAACTCAAACCACCGGAGCGTCCAGGTGAGCAAAACGAGCACCAGAGACTTTGTCTTCTTTTGATGACGTTAAATGAAAGCGACACACACACTACCTGCTAGTGCATTATGGCAACAGTACAAGTTAGCGAGGCAGAGAAAGTGTACATTTTACACGGTATTCGGGTGAGTTGGAAACTTTATTATAAGAAACATCGACAAATGCCTCGACAGCCGGTTGTAACTCAGAGACTGCTGTGTTGTTGACATGTTGGTTTTCTGGTCGCCAGGATGACTTACGGGTGGATGGAAGAGGCTGTGAGGACTACAGACACATGGAAATAGAGACTGATGTGGTGTCCAACACAGACGGCTCGGCCAAAGTCACACTGGTAAATGTGCAGTATGTGTAACACAAGTCCCACGTGTTGGCTCGTTTTCTGTTTAAGTAAGAAGATGCCATGAACACTTCTCATTTGTGCCAAACTGCACTCCTTCTTACAGTAAAACTCAGGGTTTTATTTGCTTCAATCACTGAACTCAACCTGCCTTTATTTGGGACAGGCCTTTAATTCATTTTGCACAAAACTCTTGTTCAGCAAAGATAGTAAGTTCTATAAAACCAGTGTGAATATTACTTCTATCGAATAACACCTCGTTTAGGAATCCTTCATTTGATCATTTGATCATTTGATAGTTCGGCACTGATGGTTTCTGTAAAATGAACTAAAATAAACTTTATTCGCTGACTTTAGCTGGCTTCTTTGCCTGCTAGGACAGGTTAAGACTCCAAGAGACCAAGAGGGAGAGAGTGGAGAGGTGGTTTTATGCATCCAAGGAATTCCTATAAAATCCAGACCAGGCCTGTAATCGAGACCTTTATTTGTCAAAACGTGTAGCCACATCAGGCTGGTAAAGGAAACCTGCTTTTAATTGAAGATTTACATTATTAGTTATATCTGAGCCTATCTAATGTCTGTTTTCTGAATTGAATGCTATTTCTTTGGGAGGACGATTGAATTACTACCTATTATTATTTTCTGATGTGTTTCGTCTCTCTTTCAGGGCCACACAGCAGTTCTAGTTGGGATTAAGGCTGAAATTGGAAAACCAAGGCCCATGGTGCCAAATGAAGGATACTTGGAGTTCTTTGTGGATTGGTAGGTATGATGCATATTCAAGGGTATGGATATGGAAATAAATCTTATGTTACATGTAGTTTTATGTCATAGTATCACTACATATCAAGGTATTCTGAATGTTATTGGGCAAAAATTGGCATGGGCTGTGTCTAAAATCACTCCTTATTTACTATATAGTGTCTATTTATGTCAGTGCTCAAAGATTGCACAATGGAATGGAAAAGTTAGTGTCCCTGGCTTGTGCTTCTTTCTGATAACAATCCCACAATGCAATGTGTTGCATTTTAAGTTGTGGTCTATAATTGTCCTCTGTTCACTGTAGAGTAACACTGTTGAGTGTTAAATATATAGGGTGTTGTAAATGAGTGATTTCAGATGCAGCCTTCAATGTCTATTTCTGGCCAATCCTGCAAACTGAATATGAGTCAGATCGAGATATTTCAACAATCACAACATCGCCCTCAGTGGCCTATTGCAGAGATTTTAAAGGGATAACTAAGACGGTATAAACGATATAGCAAAATATCTAATAGTGGACAAATTTATATTGTCTCCTGATATATATTTTCATATTCCACATCCGTCACATCTTCATAATAGAGACATCAGAATAGATTGTATAATAGCAACACAGTTTCAAACAAACGTAGTTAAGCCCAATTATCTAAAACACTAATAATGATCCATTAAAAGATTTCACACAAAACTAAATGTAAATGTGGTCGGTCAAAGTTAAACCAAAAAGTAGCTGTGCAATATTTTAATATTAAACAATGAGGTACCATTTGTAAGCATTCACTTTTTAAAAACAACAACTCAACAAAATTACATATTTTGAATTTAAATCAAATGTGAAAGTTATTCAGACAAAAATGTTTTCAACAGGAACGCTGTTGAAAACTCATGAAAATATAAACTCAGAGTTTGGGGTTGTGCTTTGATGGATACCCTGCCACTAGGAGGTACTGTTGTATCATGGCAGAGACAATTTTTACCATAAATATTCAACAGTGTGTGGAGATAGGGTAAGCCACTCTCACTGCTTTACCTACTTTCTCTTCCTTACCCCTCTCCCACTAACTCAAGTAAGAATAAAACTGATGCATATTTTGTTTACCTCACAATATAATTGTGTTTCACCTTCCATCACCAGTTCGGCCAATGCAACCCCTGAGTTTGAGGGCAGAGGAGGCGAGGAGCTGGGGACGGAGCTGAGTAACACTCTCTACAAAGTCTTCAACAACAAACACAGTGTAGACCTGAAGAGTCTCTGCATCAGTGCAGGTGAACACTGCTGGGTCCTCTACGTGGATGTGCTGGTGAGTGGTTGTGTCCAACAATGTCCGGAATTACAACATTCAGGCCAACACTTCATTCAGTGATTGTCAAGGTGTTTTGTTTCGAGTGCAACATCATCAAGGACATAAAGGAAAGATTAATCCTTGTAGCTTCATTCTTTCATGCTTTTAGGTTGTAGAAAGGCCTCTTTGAAAATAGATGAGGGGAACAAAATGCTATACAATGGTTCAACCAAACGAGATCCCTCGAAGCAACAGTTAAATAAGAATATAAGAGATCGCCAGTCATTGGTAAAAGAAACTAAAAGCTTGGTATCAAAGTATGTGCAACATTATTCTCCTCTGGCACGCAGCTCTGTGGGGACATAGACTAAATCAGGGGTCACCAACCTTTTTGAAACTGAGAGCTACTTCATGGGTACTGAGTCATACGAAGGGCTACCAGTTTGATACACTCTTCTGAAATAACAAATTTGCTCAGTTTGCCTTTAGTT